AGCAAATGGTAAATCATCCCCTTTCTCAGAAGGCATTACGGAAAACAGCAGACATCCTTCGGGTTTACTGCTGGTCGACAGTCAGGCAGACCCAACTCCTGACCACGACTATCTCAGAGTTGAAGTCGGATCGAGCTAAACACTCAATCAAGAGTAAACGCAGATGCCTTCATAACAGACCAACACGTATCACCTTTCACTGCTATCAGGGTGAGAATATCGCGCACCGCTTTAGCCTGATTGCAGAAGAGAATACGCACACAAAAGGCAAGGCTGTACCCTGTGCTACAATACAGCAGGATTTGCCGCCATCTTTTGGTAAAATAATAATAAAGTCAGGTCTACGACTCACTTGGTGCTTACCGGCAAACGTGGTCTGCACGATGCGCTCTAGAGAATAATCAGCACGTTGATTTTCGATAGGTGGTGTATGCTTATAAATCTAAACAAAACCTGGACTCGGTGGAATCAACGCCCGCCAACACGTATAGAAGAAGGCTGTGTATCATTCAGTAGAATAATTCTGAAGAACCAAGGTCAGAATGTGAAATATACAAAATAAATGCCAATTGGTTTACTTAAATCATCCCAGGCCTTCGCGGAAATTAGGAGTCCTCTTGTGGGCGGTCACGTGATATGGCCGCGGATACCGTTGCTGTTCTCCGGGGGAGGGGGGGGGGCGGAAACTGCCTGTCTCTCAGACTCTTCCTTTCAATTTTTCTAAACTAGCACGCTCTTGTCGCCTTTCGGTAGCCTTAAGCAGAACAAGCGGAATATGCAGGTGCTGGTTCGGGTCTTGTAGTTAAGGGTGGTGTCTGCGCCTGGCAGTCGACGATGCATAGACCAGGCTTGACGGTGAGGCGTGGTTTGAGTTTTAAGGATAAATGGACCACTGACTTTTTCAAAGTACTATCTCAGGTAGGAAAAAATTAACGTTTTATTCACCAGAAAAAAATATACTTAAGAGAATGAACTTTTTGGCTTGGTAGGTAGGACTTGACTCCTACCTTCCTTGGCCAAAGTTGGCAAACAGGTCAACAATGAGGGGCCCACGTGGAGGACTGCGGTTCGCTCGGTAGATATACTGGCAATTACCAATCGCGAAGTCAAATCTCCTCTGTACTGAGCCCTTCTAGAAGCCTTCATTATAGTTTACTGCCACTGATAGTAACGCAATTACATCGACAAACACCTCTAAATGAATTTTGAACGGAAACTACTAGATAGCAAGAGTCTAAACGAGAGACTAAATGGGTCAATGTGCTACTTCTTCTCAGCGGAACACAAGACGCGCGTGCCTCATTAACGGGACTGTGGACTTCGAGGATTACGCGTGCAAAGTGACTCGCAGTCACCGCATTGGTCACTCTGTTTTCGCTAGGTGGAGCTGGCATCATCTCTATAAGAAGGGGGTGCCTTTAAAACTTTTTTTAAAACGCAAGCTCAACGGAATGGACAAATACTGACGCATTAATGCTAAGCTTTCAACTGAAGACTTTGATTTCGATGATCGGCTAACTGTCCAATGCGGACAGTTGAAGCAATGAAGTTCTGGGAGTTTAGACAAAAAACCGCAATCTTTCGATGCTTTCGAAAATCACACAGCCCTGAACCAGCCGGTGTTATAACTTCCATGTTCACAGTGCATTTCCATCTATCCTCTATAAACCCTTCCAAACAGCTTATAAATAATTACATATCCTTCTACTTGCCAAGCATTTCATTTGAGGATCCCCCATCGACAAATACTATTTGCCAAATTGCAACGAGTCTGGACACTATAAGCAAATATTGCATGTTGATCAACAAATGGAAATCGTTAGAGGGTCTGTTAAGGTAATTTCCGCAAGTTCAAACTATTGCTAGCTCTCAGAGGCCCAAGGTAAACAGTTCCACTAATTGCAAGTCTACTTTGAACGTCGTAAAGCTCTCGACAGCGTGATTTACTCTCTGCTTCTGTTTAACTCTTTTTTTCCTACTAAATACATGTCAAACTCTCCAGCATCACAGGATAGACACACAATGACTTATAGGTGTGTACCTAGCATCGCGACGCAACGGCTTGACACGGTATGACTGAATTTCTGCTCCGAAATTTTGCGACTAACAAAATCAGAACTTATTTGATTAAGTTACGAGGTAGACCAGGGTTTGGATATTGCTCTTTTCAACAGCTGGTGAATCGATTGAAACTAGAGTGGATCCCCTATCTTGTGAAATGTCACCCGAAATTCCGGAATGTGTTTTCAACTCGAACAAATTACATAATTAGGGTTATAATATTGATTATTACGTACTTTAATCACGATATATTTTAGCCACGTCAGGATGCTGACTTTTTAACGGAATTCCTTGCGACCGCCTGCATTAAAAATAATCTATAGAAAAGTGCTACTCAAGTGGGAGGTATTATTGTCATTGATTTTAGAGCTTTCTATAAATTAAAATGTATACTATGGAAAAATTGCACAAAGATGTTCTCCCTTGTATTCGTTTGGTAACGAAGTATATATTTTTTCAATTTTAATAATCAAACAATGGCTATCTCTCGGTCTTTTAAAAAATTATAACTTGCCGAATAATTTAAGACCCTACAGTTCGTTATACTTGAATTCAAGGTTTCAAAACTAAATTCTGTTCCAAGAAAATCGCTCATTTCCCTACGCTACGAGAAAGAGGCCACGTAGTTCTCGCGGACCATGTGTATACCTGATAAACAACATTAATAAATTAGCGGATACGATGTATTATGAACGCAAATTGCTCAATACTAAAAAAAATAGATCATTAGAAACTTTTTGTAAGACCGAAAGATACGTCTTCGATTATAAAATTTGAAGAAGACAAACTTTGCTGCCAAACAAGTATAAGAAAAAATACTTTGTATACGTTTGCTATAAAAGTTAACTACACGTTTAAGGACCTCGAACAGCCATGGAAAGATGCATACTATTTGAGTGACCATTTATAACCGATTAAGGTTTTTGCAGGGGGTCAAAAAGAAAATAGTCCCAAGCTCGACATGACTGAAATAATTTGGAATAAGGCTGCATGATGATCAATATTATAAACCAACTTATGGAAACTACTCGAGTCTAAAAACGTTTCACAATTTCTGTCGGAATTTTATGAGGAAGGGAATCTACTGCAAATCCGTCCAGACTGTTATAAAAAGGTGTTCAATCCTGTAAGGTTGTATATTGTTATTAAGTATGTTTTTGCCGACTAAAAAACCAATTCGATGGATCATCTATAAACAATCTCGACCACTCTTGGTACAATAATAAGTGTGGTAATTATTCATCATTGCTTACGACACACGTTGTTATTTGTCATTGGATTTCAGTAAATGCCTAATCTGTGAATTTTCAAATTACTACTGAAATACAGTTTGTTTAGAATTGTGGCGAGATTTTATTCTGCAGCAACGGCCTTCGACTTGTTGACCTAGATACGGTAAATTTATCGGCCAGATGATAACTGGGACTCAATTGGGACAAGTTTACGGCCCTTCTTCAAAGAACTGCGTCACTATCTGACAAGAAACTGGCGATGAATACACTGCTAACACCAAAACTACTAGATCCGTCGTCGGTCGGCCCCAGCTCTTGAACGACAATCTTTTTTTTCTCAAACATACCCACAACGCACACTAATTTGACGCTGCCTAAATCTTTTTACTGTCACTCCATGCACTGTGTCTATTTCGATAACGCTCATAAGCTGGTATGCCTCTTCAGTGCACTGTTATTCTTTTTTGGATAAAACTCTCAACTTGCGTATTAAAGCGATTAACAGATGTGTAACAGTGAATTAAACTAAGAGAACAGTGAAATACCGACATTTCGTATGTACTTTTACCTCGGGATACAGTCCTGCTATGCAATTGGATAATCGACAATTAAAAAGTATGACGAAGGCAAGCATGCTGCGAATGACGGCTGAACTTATCCTTACATTACCCTATGACATTGTTCGGTTAGTGGGTCAATAAAAATGCACCGGACCAGAACTCAAGAACTAAGCGAAGGGGCAACATCTCATCCTTCAATTAGGATGAATCGGAGAACGACACTCCTCCCCCCCTAACTTGCGTTATTCAAGATCACAGTTGATAAAGCGCAAACCTGTGATTGAACTGGCTTATTAACTGAACGCCATTAAGAAGGATCTGATCTTTTAACCTGGGTTAATATTGAGCCAACATTATTGAGATCATTGGTCGCGTATATAATTTGTATCATTGCCTAGTGAATTACGGCAAAAATTACGCAGAATAAATCATGCGTCTGGTCCGATCCGAAACATACACGGGGAAATTGTTTATGAATGCCTAAAAGGTGTGAAATTAACTTAAATCTAGAATAAAACTAAAAATGGCACTAGTTTATTCAATCTCAGTTGACGAGTGGTTAAAAACGTTGAACGAGATGAGACAACTTACCTTTCGGCATTCCTAACTTTCGACGTATGTAGAGGCCAGTTGTTTCCATGTATAGATATATTTCATCAGCCGAGTACCATTCGACATGACAATCAGAAAACTGTAGCGTTTGCATGCCTAAAACATAATTAAATGAGGCAAATCATTATTAGTCTGATGAGCAGCAATATTGGGGTAAAATAAATATTGTTTAAACAATTATGCTGTTTAAGGCCGTTGCCAATGATGTGTTACAAATGTGGCGAGGGTTTTAGCTCGCATAGTAAGAGGCCAAAATTGTTAACGATAAATTACTTTGAGCTTTATTGGTGCTAGAAAATATTGAGGGCAACGGAAGATAATCTCCTGACGATTTTTCCTTTGGGGTGGGACCCATCTCGGCATCCTGTGATGTTGGGGACGTAGAACGAGATTCTTCGTCGGCTTTATCCTCCGACGCTTGTTTTTGCAGTTCAAAAAGTAGCTGTATGTGTTTAGCCTCTATCTGCTCGGCCATACCCTCGTCGTCAATGGGAATACACTGTGGTCCACCGGGATCACGAAACCAGGTTCCCCTAAGGATGGGTGTGGGTTTGTCTAAAAAAGCAAACAATTTGGAAAGCAATTGTTGGCAAGGATGTCTTAAAGGTACAGAGAAGCACGAAGGCAAAGAAGCATAAGAAATTTCATATTTTCGAGAAGATGTATATCTACTAAACTGTACCACTCTTGACAAGGCATACAATCTTACATAAATTCTGTGTGTGAGAATGGGGCAAAGCGCGCGCTCATGTTTTTACATAAGCCCAATGGCAGTCAGTAGCATAGTTCCCTCGTTATCTAATATAGTATTTACGGCACCCTGCGCATGTGAAAATTGTGGAATCCAATACTCTATCGCTTTAAAAACCGCTACCAGAATACTTGTGTAACTAGTGGGTAAAAATTGGAAGCCTGGAAATATTATATGAACAGAGGTCTAAACAGTTTTCATATTTTTAAAATTCCTGCTAGAATGAAAACGATAAATATTGCATTTGTCTGCTATATGAAAAATACATAAAGGGAGCAGCCTTTACGTACGTAAAGGCACCCAACGTTGGGTGTCTTATCGAAATGAACAGCTGTTGACAAAAGCCTTTGATCCTGTATGGATATAGGGATACTTATAAGCAGTAGATAAATTCAGGAAAAAATCATCCTTGGCTGTTTAAGTATGACAAAATGCTTTCAATTATAGTTTTTAAGACTCACGATACATGGGAACGACAACATATTTTTTGAAACTTGGCGAGTTCGCTAGCTAGGGAACAGGCCTAGACGATTGAAGTACATATTAAATTAGGGCTTACCGTCCCAATAGATCGGGTAACACTTTCTTCCTTTGATATCAACCTCAAATAAATCCCCGCGAACTTGGAGTGGGACTTTCGACCTAATAAGAACATTATGTATCACAAGAGTACCATCTTGTCCAGTCTTTGTACAACAGGCCGATAGAAATCGTGTTTCAATTTTTAAGGAATCGTGACCATTGAAAGGGAGCCATTTTTTTCCACTTTCATCTTTATAAAACCATCGGACCTTAAAGGTTCA